GTAGGAGCATCTCTACTTACCCATGTCTAGCGTCTACGACAGCGAGTCAATAGCTCGGGAATACATGTCCTCCGAATACAATACGGACGACCCTGTTTCTGGAACTACCTCAGTTCATGCAAGGATATCCGTACCAGTCGAGGACCTATTGCAACAACTCACATCTGCTGAGAGTAGAGATGATGACAGGAGGATCATCTACGTCCCAGCTGAGCGGTCCAAAGGCTACGAGGCTAGTCCGAAGGTTACTATAAGCACAACACGGATGCCGATCAAGGCACGTGCAAGCAGCCTCCTCCATGTTAAATACAACACAATGTCCGCCACCTATGAAGTGGAGCTGAATGTCGATATCGACTTACCCACCGGTGAAGTCAGTCGTCATATTCTAGACCATGTTAGGCCTGTGGCAGACGCTTCCGATGTGGGCGATCAACGTAGTACTCGTCGTGAGAATTTCTCAGATGTAAGTTAGGTCTGAATTTAATGTAGTATATGAAATTATGTGAAGGTCCCAATGTCTTATATAAGGCAGCTTGGTCACGACAGCTCTACGGCTTGGCAAGGGTATAAGGCCAGCAACAAGTGGCACAGGAAAAAGCATCACGTTCGTTACGTCCTTCCTAACAAGAGCGTGCTGGCGCCAGACTCCGACTTTTTACGTGGTAGGCTAAGTCTCAATGCAGACGCTCCCGAGTTTAAGCCAGAATCTGAGTAAGTGGATAACTGATGTATGATTTCCCTTCACATATTGCTTTTAGAACATGTCGTGTGTCGTCCCCTATAGTTGGGTATGATCCGATGAACGGTTGGGAAAGTAGACAGATGGAGGAAATGAGCCTCCCGCCTCAGGCGGCTGAGGTAGGTGATTGATATTTTACTTATTCGTGGTTTTGTGGTTGTTCGCAGTGTTGTAATATATGTTTGATTTCCTCAGCTGGGTTGAGGAGTTTACTCACTTATTACATATGAATTCTGAGAGAGGTGTTCAGAAATCAACGAGAATTGCCTAAATTTCCTCAGAATTTTCGTATTGTGCATGTGTACATTTTTTAACACTGGTTGTTTGCAGGGACCGTTTCGCTGGCTGGAGGTCAACAACTCTACTGTAGGGGTGGACTTTGGGAGTGTCTCGACAACTGGGAGTTGTTATAGCGGTGTGTTCACGTCGAGCCCGCTGCAAATTCCCTTGGACATGCCGGAGGATAGATTTGACTCTTGGAGGACCACAACAACAGCACGTTTGCTGGAAGCTCCCACGGGCACTGCGTAAGAGGAGATTCGTGTGTGGTGATGATTGGTGAACTGTG